ATTTATTCTATTAAATGTATTTGATTTATTCTATTAAATGCATTTATTCTATCGATGATCTGTTTATTCTATTAAATGTATATGTCATTTCATGTAAAAATTTATCAATACACTAAATTTTTGCGTGGTACTCATTAAGTTACATATTCAGTCATTTCCACTTCGAAAAGTGTCGAGAAGTGGAATCATTTAATCCAACAAAATGATCTCACTTCGAAAGCCAGGAGATATCGAGTAAATCGATTAACTGATTTTAGATCAGGAACTGTTGGTAATTCAACAATTCAAACTACTTCTTCGATTTATTTCAAATCATAAATTTGTCATTTATTGTTAGCAGATGATTAATTCATGCTATTTGCTTATTTAAAGTTTTAAATAAGCAAGTAATTAATTCAACTATTTAATTAATGCTTGTGATATTAATTCATTTCATGTCACAGAAAGCGAGATAGAAAGACATTTTCGTGCAATATACGAATATCAATAAATATGTATGAAAAATTTTTTATTTAATACCTATCACATTTTTTTGCAATGGTTAATTAAAACTATCATTTTAAACATTTTTTCTTATTTGATATTTGCAAATTAATTGTTGAATATTAACGAAGTGAACGATTACTGTCATCATTGTTGATGGTTTACGCATAATTTCACGATTTATTTTCGGTCGTTTAATAGTTTGCCTTGCAAGAATACCAGGTTTATTGAAATTTGGCATACCGCGAAAAGCTGGTAATGATTTTCGTCGTGATGGTGATGCCATATGGTTGAAAAATTTAATTGGATCATTTAAAAACGATCCTTAATTCATTTAACTTTTTAAAAAAGTTAATTTCAAAAATTTAATTTTTAATTAAAAAGAATGCGTCATTGCAGCAATTAATGCCAAAATAAATGTATAAAGAGGATATTTTAAGCTTTACAATGTTTTCATTTCTCTTGCAATTATAATTATAGGGAAAATGAAATGATCGTGGTAAATGCATACTTCTCTTCGCTATTGCTTTTTTGGCAAACCTATCTCGAACACTATTCATTATTGGTAACGAAGTATTGAATGAATTATTTCCAGATATATTAACTCGTTTTCCCCTACTTGGTGTGCTTCAAAATATCAATTATAATTTTCAGTCAACTGGTAATTAATTCATACTGTCATTTTCAGTTAGCAGATGATTAATTCGAGCTATCATTTTCAATTCAACTATGAAATTAGTGCTTGTGATATTAATTCATTTCATATCACAGAAAGAAAAATAAAAGTTGTAATTTTTTTGTATAAATTAAGAGAATAATAATAATTAGTTATAAAAAAACAGTGGAATTTTAAACAGGTGTTAATGGAGCAACGTTTTGCTATTATACCTGTCAAATTTGTCGCATGAATCATTAAACGATTTATTCTCAATTTCCAGATTCGTTTGTATAGCTCTCGTAATGAGTTTCTTTTCAGTCATATCTTTGAAATGACGATCATTTTCATTCATAGAAATATTATTCTGTATCATCCTGGAATCTCTTATATATGTTCCGGGAAAAATTTTCCGATTTTTTCAAAATGTAGCATTGAAGAATTCACGTCAAACCAATATATAAGTGATTTCGTTTTTTTTTTTTGTTTTAAAACCAATGCATAAGTATTTGATAGCGTATTCTGTTGTAGTTACAGTGGCAAATTGACATTTTGAATTTTTGAAATTCTCGACTAACTTCAATATTTCAAAATGTCAGTGACATTCTGATTGACATTTTGAAATATTCAAGTTAGTCGAGAATTTAAAAACTAGAAATTGAAATATTTTTTTCCACATTCCTCATTTTTATTTTTTTCACTGATATATTATATATACATGTGTCATTTAAAAGAGTATTATCATTTAAAGCAGTCGCTTCAAATATTCGTGACGTATTCCTTTGGTATATCAGTAAACTATGTTTTAAAATAAGCAAATAGAAGAGTGGAGTACTTACGGTTGAAATGCTTGTCTATTGCTACAATGGATAATACAATTTTCCGGATGACACGGAGCAACTTTTATTTGATTATCCGCAATGGCAGTCTTGTTAATCATTAAATTCTTATCTTCATCATCGATAATTAATTGTTTCTGTGATGTGTTTTTCACGTTTATATTCCTTTCCAAGTTTGCATAATTCTTACTATCACACGGATATGTGCTGGATTCAGTTTGTGTAGTGGTGTTAATTTTTGGAATGGTATTTACCTGGGTAATATTTTTAAATTCCTCAACAGCAGCAGCATTTGGATTTTCTGTTACTACTAGTAAGCACTTTCCCGAATGCGTCGTTGCAATGGTAGAAATAAAATTGTGGTTTTGAGATTTTTGGATTACATATTGTAAAAGATTGTCACTAATTTGTGGGCAGCTTAATTTCTCATTTAACTTTTCTTCAGATGACGTATGATAAAGTGCATCATTTTGAGATGCATTTATCTGCATTGAATTAATGACTTGCAAATCGTTCTCTTTTTCGGTAGAATAATGTGGAAATTGTTGTAGGGTAGAATTAGCAATAATAACGGTTCCTGGTATTGACATGCTATTTTCAGGTAAATTAGTAATTTCAGATAGAATCGCAATATTTCTTGTTATGTCGCCATCGTTTACTGAAGAAGCTTTCGAAAAAGTTGGCTTAGTAATTTCATTAGTCGTAAACATGCTCGTTTCAATAACAGTTTCATTTGGAGTTAAAACAGTGATCACATTTTTGGTGGCGATAATATTACTACTGCTTTCTGTTACGCAACATGTGTTTACAGTATTCCCGCCTCCATGAACAGTTCCAGAGCAGATATCATTTGATCCAGAATTTCTAATTGTGTGCATTTCCAGTATTTTTTGATTCTTTTTCGAAGATTTCATCTGGGGAGTACTGGTGATGAAGTCATTGTCGGCAAATTGCTGGTAATTGATATTTGTAGGAGAAAATCCGGTATTTTGTGTAGAATTTACAATTAACTTTTCAGGCATTTCTGAATGCTCTTCTGAATTGGGCACTCTATTTTTGTTCATTATATCGGAAGATTTCGATGAAATATAACTATTCTTTTCAGCTTTATGTACAGCGGAAATTTTATTATCATAAAAAGCATCCTTAACCGAAGATTGAGTAGTATCCATAACAGGAGATATGGCAACTTTTCCAGATTTTTGTTTTAAATTATCATGAATTATTTGATCATATGCATTCGATTTTTTCGTCCCTCCAAGCGCAGTAAATTTTTTAACCGTAAATGTCTTATTTATAGTGTGATTATTGTGAATTATCTGATGAGATGTATCCAATTGCTCCGGCTTGTTAAGAGAAGTATTTTGACTTACAGCGAATGTTTTATTTACAGTATCGTCGCATGTTGCAGCCGATGATTGCACCGTATGAAGCAAAGTTTCTTGTTGATGATTCTTGACATATTTTGCTGGTGAGGGAATCTTAGGAGTTGCAGCAGAATTATTTCCGTCCAATTTCGTAATCGAAGGAGAATAGTTTGCATTCCGGAAAATATTGTGCAAACCTGGTATTTGTGTGGACTGTTGTATGTTTGTTGTATCACCGGCATTTCGTTTTAGAAGTCGAATATCAGTTCCAGTTTCAGGATCCCAATTATATATTTTGCATATTTCTAAGACAATTTGTCGAGCAAATTCTTTGATTGGTACATAAACTGGCTAAAAAATCTTATTGATCTTTTTCTTTTTTTTTTTTTGAATTAAAATAAAATGATGTTTTTCAGGTAGTATATAAGGAGAAAACTTCTAAATTGGAAGGTGAAACTTAGAAATTATTTTGATTAGTATTTACAGATTATTTTGCGCTAAGGTAAGCCTAATCATTGTATAATTAAGATTATTTTGATTTAGAATTATTTAGAATGAAATTAGATAGGTACTTAATCAGAGATGATTTTGGACTGGAATTTATTTGACATTTATACTAACTATATCTATAACTTTTTAAAATTAATTCTGTAGTCTTTTATTTTTTCTTTAATAAAAAGATCAAATTAATCCAAAATTGTTGCGAAAGTAAAATCCAACATAGGAAATTGGATCATTTAAATCATTTGCCCATTCTTCAGCCGCATGCAAAAGACTTGACATATCATCACTAATATTCCTTCCATCTTCAGTCATCTAAAATATTTTTAATTAAATCGTACAAATTTTATTATATTTGTTTGATTTTTACACTTCAAAATTTAAATTTAATTTTTTTCTGCAAAATAAATGCTACATTTATTTCTAGCGTACGGTTTAAATATTATTCAGAGTTTATTAATTCTTAAATATTTAGAATAGAATTCAAACAGAAAAGTTTCCAAACCAAATTAATAAAGGAAAAAGACAACAGAAAAGAAGAAAGGTTAGTATTTTAAATACTAAAGTCAAACAGATATATTCAGGTCTGAATAACTGAATAGAAATCATAATAATTACAATAATCATAATAATGATATATTAGTAATAACGATAGTCATAATGATAGTAATAACTGGAAGTAGCCAAAAATATGCTTATCAAAGTATCAGTCGAATATAAAGGAATGTTATCTTTAGATGTGGTTCACGTCTGAAGGCTAACCACGTGCAGGTTAAATTAGCAGCCAAACTTTCTGCTTATCGTTGGAAAAATGATGATTTCTCGCAAAATTCCTTGCTTTTATCCGAGGTGGAAATGAAATGAAATTAGAAATATGGCAGCGATTGGTTAGCCTGTTTAGCATATTTCATATGCATGCAATTTGCATCAAGTGTGTTAATACTTATTAATTACTCATGCAGTTTCTGTCACTGAAATAACAAAGAAATTACATAAAGAGCAAGAGAAGAAAAGAAATCATATAAAGAGAAAAAAAGAAATATGGAGAGACGAAAGAAATTATGAAAAAAAGAAAAAAAGAAGTTAAGTAAAGAGAAAAAAGGAAATTATATAAAACGAAAAAAGAAATTATATAAAGAGAGAAAAATTATATAAAAAGAAATATCAAGAGCTACACTCTTGATATAATTTCTCTTTTCTTTCTTCATATAACATGCAAATATCCAATATAGTTGAAATATGCTGCAACGATCGTGCAAGATCTCATACCGAAAATTGGTTTCTGATTGAAAGATGTTCTTTAATTTCAGCTTGTAAGCTATGACTAATGATATGTTGTGGTATGGTGCGAGGTATGGGGAGGGTTGTAGGTATGGGGTACGAGATTGCAGAATACGAGATATGAGTACGGGATGAAGAATGCAAAGTATGGAGTTTCGTGCTATATTTAGAATTCAGGAAGGGAAAGGATGGATTTTTTTTTTTTAAAGATAAATTAAGTTAAAAAGTGGAAATGAGAGATTAGAGAAGCGGAAGAAATATTAGAGGTTATTGAGAATGTAGTGGTTGCGAAATAGCATTATACATTTACGGTTTCAAATGAAGCAGTAAAGATTTTTAGTCAATAGCAGGTAAAAAAAATGGCAAAGATTGGTTACTGATAAGGAGTTGAAAGATGTCAGTGATATGAAGTAGATGAGGAAAAGAAGGACGAAAGACTTATTGATTTAATGATTGGTAGAAAGATGTATGTTTCTTTTTTTTTATTCAAAAAGAAATAACATTGATAAAAATGTAAATTTTAAGATATTAATGATCAAGAAGGATTGAGAAAAAAAAAAGAAGAGATTTTAGTTTGAAATTTTTGGAATTCAATGCCTAAAGAAATATAATTGTTGCTTTTAAAAGATTCACCCATATTTCATTTCTTATTTCAGAGTAATTGCAGTATCATTTGAAACATCACGATATGACGGAAACACAATCAAAAACTGCTAATCATCAACGTCTTGCAGAAATGTTCGTACATTTAACACCGCTTGGTGCTCGAATACCATACAGGTAGGATGGACTTTTTTTTGTTAAAAGGTTAATGAACAGATATGTTTTGAAAATATTTTGTATTGGAAAAATGCTATCCTATTATTTTTACTTCTATTTCTGATCGATTTATCTCTTTTTAAAATGTTTAGCTTATGAAATAATTTTTGTTTTTTTCTTTCAGTATCTCCATTGATAATCAACAGAATATCTGGGTAGCGACCAAAGGAGGATTATTCAAAATGGATCGATTTGGTAAACTGCTTTTCCAGGAGAAAAATGATTTTGCAAAAAAAGCTGAACCATTTTGTCAAGTGTCACTTTGTGAAGAAAAGGTAAGAATTACTTCTTTCCAAATTCTTTTTCCTCATTAGAATCACTCGGCGCGGTAAGATCGTTTAATAGCATAAGTAGAATCATTTCATGATAGGTAATTGTATAAACGAAAAAGTTGCTTATATCAAAAAGATTGTTGATCATTCTTTTTTCAGATAATTTATGCTTATTCGGAATGTATGTCAGGTTTAACGTTGCTCAAAGTAATGACATTGGACGGAAAAACAATCAGTGAGCAATTTGTTGACGGCAAAATACAAAGTTTAAGCGTCAATGACAGTGGCGAAATGTTCTTGACCAAACGACCAAAAGGCGAGGATTCCATTATTTACAGGTATGTTATAAAATAGTAAATTTGGTATTTGTAATATGAAGGTCTTTTTTAAAAACGAAAATTTTCAGTTGTATTTGACTGCTTATGATTTACTTTTTGTAGTTCGGATATTTGTTGTCCAAGTTGTTGGAGCGAAGTGATCTGTGAAGATGAATACGTTTTTCAAACAGTATGTGCCCTATCCAGCGATCTACTAGTTGTGTCAACCTGCACTTTGCCTATCAATATATATTCTAGGTTATTTGTATTAACATTTAATTTAGTCGTTTTATATTTAACAGAGATTTGCATTGAATTTTTATCATATGGTAAATATTTGAAAAACTAAATGAGATCAAGCAGATTCTCTATCTGTCACAGTATTTTTCTTATTTTCTGCATAAGTAATTGACTTGTTCAACAGGATAAAGACCTGTTTTTGTCCTTTTTTTGACAGACTTGCAATAACTGTTTGAATTATTTTAGAAAAGACGATAGAAGAAGTACGATTTATCCATATCATATTTTGAAATATGATTGATTAGTAAGTGAAATTTAGTAGTTAACATGTAGTCAACTAATGAAATCCTTTAATATATCTTAATTCGTTGTACTATCATTTTGCAGGCAATCACTTCGATTAATTAATGTTACAGAGGGAAAAGTGATCAAAAGTTTCAGTAAAGAAGGAAAAGAAGATGGACAGATTTTTTTTCCTCTTTCAATACAGAGGCCAGTTTGGTTTTCTTTTAAGCACTTTGTTTTCATGGATTTCTTTTCTTAGTGATGACTTATTTCCCATTCTTGCAGATGCTAAAAAATTGCAAAAAATTTTTGCCAGCAAAATGAAATGCTAACTTAGCATTTCACACTATACCATATCATTACTTATGATGTGTAGTCGACATTGTGATTAATTTGGGGAACAAATTCCTTTTTAAACAGAGGTAGCATACGCAAGCTGAAACTCTGTTTACTTTTCTATTTAAATTCTTTACTACACTTCTACATTTTATATATATATACATATATATATATATATATTCCAGTTTTTTTTCATACAAAGAAAAGAAAAATAATTCTTTCGACATCAGAAAAGATCAGGAAAGATAGATATTTAAAGAGCTCTTGCTTCTGAAATGCCAACTTTATAAAACTTTAACACTGTGAATAGAAATAATTGCCTTATCAGTAATTTCTGACTTAATACGTTATATAATATCTTTCCAGATATGGTAGTGATATTCTTGTCTTGGATAAAACAGGCCGCATTCAACAGTTTACGCAGAATGGAGATTTTGTCCGTGTAGCTACAAAGATTGATGCATATTTAGGCAACGCTTTCGTTGTCGACGGTAATATGGCTCTTATAGCTTGCTCAGGGATTGTGCTTGATGAAGTATGTTCATTTAAGAGATTTAGTAAAATTTGCGTACTGTTCATTCCAAACACCTGTTAATTATATACTATGCAATTCATCACTGTTTTCCTTGAAGAACTATTTAATGATTTTACTTGCAGGATAACAAAACTATTTGTGATGATTGGTTGGAAAAAGTTCCATTGGACGGTAGTCAGTGGTTGCCTGATGCAGATTTTGTTGATAAAAAATAAAATGTTATCCATCACTTTTAACTTTCAAATAAGCTGTGGAAAAAATAGTACCTGTTACTCTTTATATTTCTGTTTTATATCAGTAAATGTGTTTATTTGCTATATTTATCAGTATAACATTCCATAATGGTTTATCGACTAGATTTAATTTCATTTTGATTTCCTTGCTGAACAACGTATATTTCTAAATTTGATTAATTTTATTTCCTCTAAAATTGAATACAGTTGGTTATTAGCTATTTTTGCTATTGAATATAGTTGATTATTAGCAATTTTTGCTCATGCCAATATTTATTTTTATTTTATTTCACTATATTAAGACATGCTGAAGCATTATAAACGAATCTGAGTTCTGTAGTGGTTTTTGCTAGAAATAGTAACCTCCTGATGAGATAAATATACCAATCTGATCCTTATTTTGACATTTACCCTTTTGATTTTTGGGGGTTTTTTTGGAGTTCCTTTTAAGAGAGAGCTTTGTGTGATACAGTCGAACCATAGTGAAGATTTAATATTGATTGAGATTCTATTCTTTTGACGTTATAATGCAATTACCAGAAATTATTAAGAGTGGTGACGATGACTTAAGTATTCGTTTTCACTGTCGATCCAGACAAATAATTTCGGACTATTCATTCAGGTAGTGGTTCAGAGAGATGAAGATGATTAAGATCATTTCAAATCAGTTGGTAATACTGAAGCACAAGGCCGTGCTCGATGAGTAATATTTATAGTGGAGTAGACAGTTAGTTATTTGATTCACGGAATTAACAATAAAGTTCTGTTTAGTTATTTGATAGACTAAACTAGTAGTAAATCAATAAGTATTGAAAGTAATTATTTACAGTATCCTCTAGAATCGACGCGAATAAATAAACAAAGTATATTTTGTGATTTGATTGAAAATATTTAGGATGAACGGTTTTTTGAAGAATGCAAAAATACTTTGATCACTTTTTATGTTATAGAATTATTTCGATTTTTCGATATCATTCTTGTTCTTTCCCTCATTTTCATAACATAATGAGCAAGCAGTGTTAAATAAATTTATGCTTATCTATCAGCTTAGATTTCGTTCCAATATATATTTGCATGATGCAAATCAATCCATTATCATTTCTATCCCAAATATTTGTATAGTTCTCATGTAATTTTTGCATTTATATGTTAGATAATTACATTTTCGTATCCTGAAATTTCACCTACCTTGTAAATTGATTGCTCGGCTCATTTAATTTTTGAGTTATGAGCTCTTTACAAATCTAATAAACGATTTAAAAGAATCACTTGTAAAAGTAATAAAGGAGCAGCTGCTTGATTATTTAGATGTCGGATGATCGCTTTTTTCACGCTGTAAGAAGAGGTAGTATAATCAGCACGTTCTTATGTGTAATTACATTCGTTCCAATTTTACTTTGAAATTTTACTAATTTCATTGGTGTAATTACAGTGAGATTGTTTCACGATAAATATTTCAATGTTTGAATCTTTTGTAGAATTTCGTCTCTTAGATTAAAAAAAAAAATCACGAATCGATAATCCATCAAACAGTTTTGAAAAAAAAGATGATCACTGTGTCGTTCATCAATAAAACTATCCTTTCGCTGTTTGATCTCTTTTACAACATTTTATTTCTTCTCTTCGCTTATTGTTGTCATTCATCGAATGTGTCACTTTTTTCGTCCATCATTACGGTTTCACAGCACTTAATAGTAGTGATTCTGTATTGAGTTGACATTCACAGGATATTGGAATTTGAATATATTCATAATGCCATTTTTGACATTCTTCATTTCCTTCATTACGTAATACTTCAAGAGTAAGCGTACGCATGTAACATGAACCATGAGCTGAAATTAGTTTTAATATTAAAATTAGCACAATTTAAATAAACTATAACTTTTCCATAAATAGCTCTTGAGTATATTTCAGTAACCGAAGAAAAAGACTATTAAAATTTGAACTGACAAAATATTAAGATCAATATCAACTAATCTATATTTTCAACAATAAATTTTAAACTTTTAGCTACCTATCATTTTAGTAGAGAAGTGATAGATGGTTAAATGTAAAAAATAGTAGAAATAATATGAGGCAAATCCTTAAGATATATAAAATTTATCAATTCGAGGAAAAATTTAAATTTTGAATTATCGACTCATTTTAATTTTACGTAAATTATACGTTGCGTTGAAATTTTGTCGAAAATACAGCCAGATTTTTGAATTTGGCTTTCACATTTTATTGCATTGATAAATCGCGGGAAGCACATTTTATCAAGCACATATACACCACCGCAAGATGTACACAGTTTACTATGCTCCTCGAATTCTTCTGTACCTTGCGGGATGCATTTTCCAACTGGTATGAACATTCCTGAAAATTTATCATTAATCATTTAGCACGCTGGAAAGAGTTTTCAGAAAAAAGTTTGCCAATTCTGATTTTTAAAAATATCGTACGATCTTAATTCGTGGAAAAATATGGCAGATAAGGGTTAATAATTAATTTTAAATGATGAACGTTTCGAAATTCATAGCTGGCAGGGGAAAATTGAATATTTTAATGAAAAAAAAAATACAATTATCAGTTGAGGAAAACAGTCGTTTAAACCATGCAATTTTAATTTGACATTTCCGGTTTCTTTTTTCTTTGATTTCTCTTTGCTCATTTTTTTTTTGGTCGTTTTCACGCAAAATTACTTCGATTTTCGGCTATTTATCGGTGTAAAAATCAAAGTACTATCGAGAAAATATGAGAATTATATATAATCCAATTACATACATAATTATATAATACTACTAGTTAAAATAGAAATCATCGAATAATATCACGAATTTATACCAATCGGTCATATTATCCAGTAATTTTTTTGTAACTGATAAGTTTATCAGTGTTCTTTTTTAGTACAAATTAGTGCAATCTTCAAATGATAAGAGAATTCTAGAAAAAAATTTTCCTCCATTTTATCAAATCTTAAAATTCAAAACTTTTATTTAATTAAATACCTAACTGACAACTGGTTAATGTTGAATTGGTTGAACTATCATTAATTGTCCGTAATCGAGCATCATCTAAAAATGGTACTCTTAGTAAAAGTGTACCATTTTTCTCCTTTCTAAGCGCTTCATTTAATCCCCGAATGATATTTTGACATAAATCATTGCACACGAACGATGTGTTGATATTCTGAAGTTGCTTAATTAAATATCATATTGCATAATTATAACTGCAATTATTGAAATGATATGATCAAATGATAGACAATTGTAGCTATACAAGAAATATGCAAACAAAAACACCTAAATGAAATTTTATTTAAAACATAAACACAATACTTATGAAGTAATGTTTATTTGCTAAATTAATAATAATATTTCAAATATTTGTCCTCTAGAAATTTTTTTTCAAATCGTTTTGCAAAAATTTGGCAAATGGTTATTATTATTATTTTATTGCTCTGAAGAAAAAAGGAGGAGAGAGAAGAAAGGAATAAGAGAAAGAAAAACAGAAAATGGAGAGAAAGAGGGGAAAAATTAAGCGAAAATGGCTGGAAATAATAGGAATGATTCTTTCAGTTGATGCATAAAAGTTATAGCATCATCAATTATGTTAATTAACACAACTAACATCGGATTGAAAGCTATCATCTTGAGGTAAATCGAAGTAATCAGATTTAGCTTTGAAAAGATTTTTATATGAGAGAGCAAAATTACGGCCCGCTTCTTCCGGATTATTCGCCATAAATCGTTGATTAAGCATTCCTGAACGTTCCAGTAGGCGATACAGATATTTTTCATTATACCGAGTGCAATTTGTTACACTCGTTACTGAACGTCTGAAAAAATAAAAAAGTAGCAAACAGAAGTCAAAAATAAAGCTATAATTTTGTCCATTATTGAAATGATCTTTCACTTTGAACTTCTAATTTTACATTTTGATCACTATTGATTATGAATTAAAATTGCTTAAAATCTTGCATTTTATATTCAGAGTTATTCATTTCAACCCATTTTTGATTTTAATAAAATAAATTAAAATTTACTGATCCGAGTAAATAAATAACTAACCTGTAAGAATGAGAATTTATCTTTGATCTCTTTGAGCTCATATAATTTTCAACTAATGGAGTAATGGATTGCTCAGTTCCATCATAATCATAACGTTGATCACTGCTACTGCCAGCTTCCTCGAAATAAATCATTAATTGAAGTGACACAAATTAACATCTCAAAAAATTTTCATTTTTCTTCATATTGTGTAAATGACATAAATATATGATTTAGTCTTACATCGATTTATCACTCCGCATATCAATTTATACTAATAAATTACTTGAGATATTTGTTACTACTTCATTATCAATATGTAATAAACATATGAGCTCTATATTGGCCCAACAATTGAGGCTAATTATTTGCAAATGATTTATGGCCATTTATTCTTGGCCATAAATCATTTGCAAAGAATTAGCGTAAAAATATCTGAAAGAAAAATAAGCATTTTATCTGTTACAAAAGAAAAGAATACAATATGAAAGAAAAATAAGCATTTTATCTGTTACAAAAGAAAAGAATACAATACTTTTTTGCTATTTTTGGATGTTATTTCTTTATTGGTTGAAAAATTTCCCAGAAATCTTTCATGCGTAAGATTTTTTGGTAACTGCCCTGAAAGAATTGGTTTAAAAACTGCAAATTAGTTACATTTATTATTAAAATGCTTAATAACTTTAAAAAGAAGGAAGAATTTCAAACAATCAATAAATAAGTATGAATTGCTTTGAAAATAATTTCAAATTTCAAGCAGATTTTGAAAAGGATTATAGTCTGAAAATCAATTTTAGAATTATATTTTAATCAAATAAAAAAGCATAAGTGTAAATTTCACTTACTTATATTATTTGTTGGTTGACTGTCGAAATCCAAATTCCTATCATCGCCATGTAACCATAATGAAGAGAAAAAAGATGAATTGATAGCATTCAGATTGGAATCTGATAAAATTATTAGAGACCAAAACAACAACTGCAATTAACAACAGTTGTGATTCAATTCATTATTAGCTTTTTTTTTTTTAAATTCGTTCCTAACACTCTATTGATAAAAGATTAATGTTGATAGTAGCAACAATCTACTTTACAATAAATGCTATAAGTATTACTACATCAAAAAGTCAGTGATGTTGTTAAACATAAAATTTGAAACTTCTTAATACTTATACCTCCTCCACTTAATTATTTCCAAAATATAAACCATAAGAATAATATATGCAAAGAAAAATTACCTTCCATTGGAAAATTGCTAATATAACCATTGTTTCTATCGTCCACTTTCAAATCTCCAATTTCGCCATTATAAAACGTAATATTGATCGTAATAAGAGTAATAGGAATGGTATATAAGCGAAAAGAAAGCGATCATTAAAACTTAATTTCTTCTTTTTTTCAAGAAAAAAGAAAGAAGGAGAGAGAGAGAGGATTTCTCCCTCTCTTTATTCGGAAAAAAAAAGAAATATAT